GGCTACAATGAAACGTAAATCAAGCACAGACAAAGCCAAGATAATATTAGAGGCAGGCAACGTTTCAACCACACAAGAGGTAATGTACAAATTTGTATCGATCGACGAGACAGAAGATAGCACACAAGGAAGAGTGTTAAATTACAGGAACAAAGACGATTTTGATATCAAAAATGAAAGTAAGAATGCAATATATGGATATTATAAAAATAAATTTGAAGAAAGAAAAGAATACAGGAACAACAATTATAGAAATATAAGTGAATATGAAAGACATGATACGAGGATATATCGTAATAGGAACAGAGGAGATTGGCAATCACAACGAAAAACAAAGACTAATCAATGGACACAGGTGAGATGCCACAGTAATAGAGGCACAGCGAGAGCATATTACGCACCGCATGCGAATACGAATACAGTGCCAGAAGTAGATTTTTTGACAGTAATGTAGACAAACTGCATATGGTTCAACCTTAATAGTTGGAACTTACATCGAACAGGAGGCTGCTAAGAGGATAAGCTAGGGTTTCAGAGGAAATTATATATTATAACATAAAACCCACAAGCAAACAGTAAGAAAGGTACTAAATAATATGGAGGCGCATAGACTACCAATTTTGTCTTTTGGAACAAACCGAGTCTCACCAAATGAGCATTCGGGTTAAAAACAAAATCAAATGCAACAAGAGCATGACCACAGGATTTAATCATTTTGATTTAGGTCAACTGTTGGTACAGCTTGATCAGCTAGCAGTAGAGAACGCAATAAGTAAAGCAAAAATATAATGTAAATGATATTATTTTTAAATCGTTCACAATTGATGAATTTATAAACGAAGGAAATAAGATATTGAAAAATGTAGAAATACACATATGCGAAGTACCAGAAATCATAGAGGATAAACAAGAAAAACTAAGAATAATAGAAGAATACCATAATTACCGATGTTTGGAGGTCACGTGGAAAATAATAGACTTATCAGTATCATACTGATACTTGATCAAGGTGCAGTAGAAAAAGGTCTCAATGGTGAATTGTCCATACGGGAAGCTTCTCGCTGTTATAATGTGTCTAAAACACTTATTAGGTACATGACTAAACACAAAAATTTGTTATGAAGCGAGCAATAAAACTTAACTAAGTTTTTTCAATTGAAGAAGAAAATAGTTTGAAAGATTATTTAATATCAGCAGCACGCCTTCACTATAGCGTGATAAGAAGTTCGTTGTTTTGCTTACCAATTCGCTCTTGCAAATAATAAAAAGTTTCCATCATCATGGGAGCAAAATAAGAAAGCCGGTAAAAAATGGCAGAGTAGAATTATCACCTCGAAAACCGGAGCCTACAAACCTAGCAAGATCCACCTCGTTTAATAAAACCAATATCAGCTTATTTTTTACAAATTACAAGAAAGCTCTGTCTCTGAAAATGAATTTTCGCCACACAAAATTTGGAACTGTGATGAATCTGGTTTTACAACCGTCCATGTTTCTCCTAAAATAATTGAGAAAGAGGACAGAAGTATTTCTCTACGTATTACTGTATTCTATATTCCAGCTATGATGGTGTTTCCTAGAGTTCTTTTCAAATCCCATATGTTGAAAGGAGATCCTGTAGGCACAGTTCGAGGTGCCAATTCGTCTGGCTGGTCTAATGAGTCACTTTTTTTGCAGTTCCTGGAACATTTTAAATGTCATGTACAACCATCTATTGAAGACCCAGTTATTTTACTTCTTGACAACCATGATAGTCACGTTAATATACCAGTGATTCAGTTTTGTCAAAACAATGGCATAACATTGGTTACTTTTCAACCTTACACAAGCAACAAGCTTCAGCCGTTCGATAGGACTGTCTTTGGACCATTGAAAACGTATTACAATACATCTTGTACTGAATGGATGCTTAAGCACCCAGGGCAGCTTATAAGTATCTACGACGTTGCAGAGTTAATAGGGAAAGCATTTCCAAACGCTTTTTGTCCATCGAATATTCTTAAAGGATTTGAAATATCGGGGCTTTATCCCCTAAATGAAGATATATTCCAAGAACACGAATTTCTCACCTCTTATGTTTCGGATCGTTCACTAGAAAACAACAACATTGGTGTTAATGCTCAATCTGAAAGTACCGAGAACTTTGATGTTCAATCTAAAACTTCAAATGGTTCATATGATATTGTAACCTGTTCAAGTGTTGCTTTAGCTAATCAGACCGAAAACTGTTATAGTATTCTAAATAACCGAAACCAAATTAATTCTCCTTTGACATCTGTTGCTGTTACTCCAGAAATGCTACGTCCATTCCCTAAAGCACTTCCCCGAAAAAAAGTTCAGTGGAGGAAGACCACGAGGGAAATCTCGCATATTGACAGATACTCCCGAAAAATATGAAATATCACAGTTAAAAAAAGTAAAACTACTCTTAAAAATACTAAAAGGCTAGTTTTTGGACATTCTACGCAAAAGAGTTTATCAAAAAGAAGAAATCTTTTACTTCTAAGGACACCAAGAAGGAATTATCATCAAGTTCAGAATCCGAAAGTGAAAACTTATCCCTTAGTAGTGACGAAGAAAATTGAAAGGAGCATATCCAAAGAGAGGAAGAAGCAACCTGCTAGAGAACAAGTTCGGAAATGCTGATTTAAAAGCTGGCGACTTTGTATTGGTGTAAGTTTAGGAGAAAAAAGGTTCCGTTATTATTTAGCTTAAATAATACCTTTAACGACGAAAACGAACTAAAATATTTACGTCGGTATAAAAACACCGATAAGTTCTTCAATGATGCAACTATAAGCTTTAGATTTTCTCGAAGAAGATGTAATTGCAAAATTACCCCTCCAATTTACGTTAGTGGAACAGCTCGTCAAGCTCAAATGTTGAGATTTGGAATAAGTTTTGAAAAATATGACGTTGAATGACCACAAATATGTTTAATTTTGCTTTTTTCTTTTTTAATAATATAATAATAATTTTTATGCATTTTAAGTTGTGATATAACTATCTTTTTACATAATTTTGGTAACTGAATTAATGTTCCAAATACAATACAATGTTACAAGGTAGAATACTAGGAGGTTTAAGGTAGAAGACCAAATTGTACCTCGGTCCATTCTACATCAAATTAAAAAAGATTAAATTTAAACATATTTCTTTAAACCTTTTAGATACATTGGTGCTTAAGAAACATAGGTACTGCTAATTTGCTATGTTAAATCCCAACTCAATACGTTAAATAGTAAAATAGTTACAGGTTATTAAAAAAAGTGTCCCAAGGTACAACACTCCCCTATTTAATTTAAAGTAAAATAATTTATTTTACATGAAAGTGAAAAAAAAAACAAAATTGGCCAATAAAATAGGTTACGGGTAAACCCCCCCAATTGGATGAAACTTGTTTTACCCGGATACTTAGCGTATTATCCAAATTGGCTGGATAAAAAGCAAAGAAGATTAATAACTTCTTGATTTATCCGGGTCATACTACAAATATCCCATGTCAAATTGATAAAGCAGTTCATTTTAAACTTATGATATAAATAACACTACAATTGATTTGCTTTCTTTTCTTTGTTCAGAATATACTACAGAATTATTTTTCAAAAGATATAAAAATAAAAATTATTATTTTTTAGTTCAAATTAGAAACGGTTATTTATTTGAACAGGATACTATAGTATTAACCGGATAAATCCAGAATACAACAAAATGTTCACAAATATGTGGCTTTGTCCAATATGCTTGGATAATTCTAATTCCATCCGTGCAATTATACTATTATCTCATATTGGCGTTTTAATCGTAACATTAGATTATATAATTTGATTAAAGATCATCATCAATATCGGTGTTTTTGTTTACTTCTTTTTAAATATCCATTATTGGAGTATAATTCTGACAGTTTGACCATCACATTCACCGCAAGTGGTGTTACAATACAGCCCAAATTTACGGCAACTACATGATGTGTCTTTTTGTGATCTTTTTTTGCAATTATTATAAAATATTTTTAAAAATTCAACTGGTGCAGTTGGACTGTTTTTATTTCCAAGCCAAACTTGAACTTGGTAATAGCCTGTTTTAATATGTTCGTTGGGAGCATTCACTGTAGGACCGAGAGCTGATAATTTAGAGTAGATCGAGAACTGACTCCCCTACTCCACGTCAATGTGGGAGTGAGACAGGAAGATGCACTATCAACCATGCTGTTCAACCTAGTTCGGAGGTAATCGGAAATACCAATGTAATCGGCCATATTAATACCAAATTAATACAGATGATGTAACTATTAATAGTAGAAGCAAACAACGACTAATGAAAGTGTTCAAGGAAATTGATCCTGAGGCATGCAAAAGAGGGCTTAAAATAAGCGAAACAAAAAGCAAGCACATGACCACCAAAAGAACATCTAACAATGAAAATATCACAATAGACAACTATACCTATATAAAAGATTGGTGACATCGAAATTATTAGACAAAACAACCAAAATCCTTATCTGCAGAACATTAATTAGACTCGTAATAACATATGGTTGTGAGACCTGGGGAATGACAAAAAAAGATGAAGCGCAACTCCAGACATTCGAGGGAAAGGTACTGAGAAGAGTATAGGGTCCGGTGCAAGAAGAAAACGGCACATGGAGAATCAAGAGAAACGACAAGATTAATGAACCGAATGAAGGATACGATATTGTAAGATTTGTTCAAAGTTAGAGGCTGTCATGGCTAGAATATGTCCAGAGATAGGTTGATACAAAATCAACAAAGAAAATATTACAATGGAAGCCGATAAGATGAAAAAAGGAAAACCAAGAACGAGATAGTTGGATGACGTGGAAGACGTCCCGAAATTTATGAATGTAAGACAATGGAGGAGAAGTGTCCAAGAGAGTACAGACATGAATGTAGAGACATAGCCAGACAGACAAAGACCCATCCAGGGTTATGATGCCAAAAGAAGGAAGAAGGAAGTTACAAATTAAAAAAGGTAAATATAAAAAATATATTTTTTTTTAATTTATCAAAAATTTCTACAATATATATAACATGTTTATGCACTCACTTATACAAATTTTCGATATGACCTTTAATCTCTTGTACTGCTAAATCTTCAGCCTTTGTAATTTTGATGTATTCTTTGCGAAAATGGTCTTGAAGGTTTTCTAAATCATTCTCCAATTGTGTAATTTCATTTTTCATTTCAATGTTAGAAACAAGAGCATCTCTATGCCTCGAACAAATTTTTTCGTTATACATCTGAACTTCATGTTTCACTAATTCACATTCATCTTGAATATTTTGTAATATGACTTCATTTTTCGTATTAGTTTTTAAACACACTGATTTTGCTTGATTATGTAATTTCTGCTGGTGGTTTAATGTGGATTTATTAAAATTTATATCAGATGATAACTTTTGAATCGTCATATTTAGATCTTCCAATTCTTCTTCCATTTTGATATGTCGATTTATAAAATCTACATTAAGTTGATCAGGAATAGCTTTACCACAATGTCTAAAATGGTCAACAATTTTGTACTCATACGACAGAAAGTTATCCATATCCATATCATCTGTTTTTAAAGATTCCTTTTCTGCTTCCAAATCTTTTTCAAGTTTTTTTAGTTCTAAATATTCTTCTTCAGTAATTACTTCATCTACATACTTTTTTTCTTTAGCTCCTAATTTTTCTATGTTAGTTGTTTTCTCTTCCACTGTAATTTCTAACCGTTTTAAATCTTTTCTTAATGGTACATTGATTTCTCTTTCTTTTTTAATTCTTTCATTGCAGTAATCTTCATTACTTTCTTCCAATTTTTGTATATCATTCTCCAACTCTTCATTTTCTTTTAATAATTTTAATCTTTCTATTATGTACTCATTAATTTTAATCAAATAATTATCCTTTTCGCCAAATAATGTATTAATATCCTCCCTCATTGTTAAAATATCACTACAAGTTTTTTCAAAAGTATGTAATGTATTTCCAAAAAAAATTAACATGTGGACAAACATACAAACAAATACTCTAGTCCTAGTAAATGTGGGTTCAATTATATCACCAAGACAAAATTTTAGTCCAGTTTTTGTAAAGATTGCATTCAATTTTTGCATTTTTAAAAATATTCTTTCTTCTTCATCCAAATCGGTTCTCAAATCATCTTGATAAAAGCCTCTTGCATACGCTATCTAAAAAAGGCATTAATGATAAAAATGTTTATTATATACTGGTATCTACACACATCAAAATGGTCTAGGGGACAAGATGGTGAGGAATTAAAGTCGTTTATTCTAAAAAGCAATATTTTACTGCTAAAATAAAATTTGTTTATTGGTTGGACCTATTTTATCACAATTTACTATATCGGTTTGTGTTTTTGTTGTTCTTAAAAACGGTAAATATTCTTAAGTTTATCCATTCAATTTAAAAGTATATTCAGTACAGTTTTTACTGCAAGTGTACTTAGAATTTGTTGATATTTTGGTTTTAACTATTTTAATATGCAAAGAAATCATCTTGATCATGAAACACAGATACGAGCTATTGGCATGATGCAGGGTGGTATGAACATCCGCGACGTGGCAGAAGGTGTGCATTCTACCAAAAGTACTGTAGGGCGGTAATGGCAGCATTTTCAAGAAACTGCTGCTGTAAGGGAACGACACACTGGTCCAACAAGAGCAACATAACCGGTACATGACAGATTTGTTCGCATTCGGACATTAAGGAATGCCAATGTTACTGCTAGTCAGCTAAGAAGTGAGCTTTAAAACATTCATGGCATTAATGTCTCTGCTCAAACTGTCAGGAATATCTTGCATGAGGGTAATATTTACGCTAGACGTCCCATTAGAGTTTCGGTATTATACCGTGGAAACCGCACAAGGACATTAGAATAGGTCGTAAAACATCAAATTTGGCAAGAACGAGAATGAGCAAACATTGTTTTCACCGATGAATTCAGATTTGGTTTACAACCCAATTCACGAAAATCGAGGGTGTGGCGAACACGCATCTCACTTGCAAACCGTTCACAAAGTTAAACTATTTCAAGGAAGAACTTTGATGGTTTGGGCTGAAGTTTCAATAGGTTTTCAAACTGATCTCGTTCATATTGAAGGATTTTTAACAGCAAATGAATATCGATATCACATTGTTGAACCTATTGTTCGTCCATGTGCTGCACAATTCGGAGAAAATTTTGTGCGGATGCATGATATGTTGCAAGAATTGTGAGAATAGAACAATACTAGCGGACCAACTCGACATCGAGTTTTGATGTAAGTTTTGCTGATATTTAAGAGGGGCGGAGTCTTACGATCAATCGTTTCCGTCGCCTGGTGTAAATGTTCCAAAAATCCTAAAAATAATCTGTATCGACGCCAATTTTTTTTAAATTGAAAATCGATACAGTAGTTTTTTAGGATTTTCAGGAAGATTTACATTTGGAAACGGAAACAATATGATTGTTAGACTCCGCCCCTCTTAAATAAAAAACGGAAGTAAAACCGGAAGTAACTTTTTTTGCATATTTTAGATTGTAAAATGCCACGTTTAAGAAAAAGAACTAGATTTGAGAACTCGCGGCCCCGTCCATATGCTCTGGAACACCGTGAAAGAAACCATAATTTTCAAAACTAAATCCGGAAGTAGGGAAGTAAATACTTCCGGTTTCATAATTCTGAATTCAATCAGTAAGTATAAGAAAAAAGGACTGTAAATTTTGAAGAATGAAACCTGTAAAATTCCTATACTTTACTATAGGAAAAATTCATTTTATGGCCGCCATTTTTAAACCGGTTCGAATTTTTTGAATTTGAAACCTTAGGGGGAATCTACTCAACAATCTGTTTAATTATTCGAAAAAATTATTCTCCTATCTATCACCGTTTAGGAGGAGTATTGCGCACAAGAAAAGGGCTTAGCCTTTTAGTATATAAGATTCAGGTATTGCCCTGGCCTGCTCAATCCCCTGACTTGAATCCCATCGATAAGGTTTGGGATATGTTAAAAATATGTTCCAGGCAAGAGAAGAGCTGCTAAGCTGTATGCAAGAGCAATGGCAACAAATTGAGCAAGACGATATTGTCAGTTTGATAAAAAGTATGCCAGATCGATGTCGAGCTGCCATTAATAACAGATGTAGTATAGTCTACTAATAAGAGCCTACGAATATATTTTTAAAGTTCAGTTGAGAATTTTTGTTTAATTATTTTTTCAGTTTTTTAAAACCTTTGTATACATTGACCGGTTGTTGTGTTATTCACAATGTATCGTTAAGCAGCGTCGAGATTTGTTGAATTTCAATATTTTGCTAACAAATTGTCAAATTACCATTTAATTATTTTTTGTTTATTTTGTCCCCAAGACGATTTTATGTGTGTATAAAAATTCAATTGATAAATCGGGAATAATTAAAAAAAAACAAATTAATCATTTCTTTTTAAGTAAAATATACAATGGAGCAATAAAAAGTTGAGATAATTAAGTAAAAAAAATAGGCTTATAAGTTATACAACATATTTTAAATGTTTGTTAAAGTTTATATAGATATGGATATTATTACGTTTTTCTGTGGATTCAGGGATTAAGTGAAGCAAACGTGGTTTAACTAACTTTATTTTAACTCACTAAACTACAAAACATAAAAAACAACTTATATGTAACTTAACCTAAGTATACAAATAACACAGAAAAACCTCCCCTAGCCTCTATAACTGCCTGTACACGTCGGCCAATGCTGTCTATGAGGTTGCGAATATCATCTTGCTGGATGTTTTGCCATTCTTCTTCTAGGGCTAAGCGAAGTTCGTTAATTGAGGCTGGTGCGGCTTCGCGACCTCTAACATTTCTACCAAGCATGTCCCAAAAGTGCTCAATTGGGCTCAGATGTGGCCAACACGCTGGTCAGTTCATTTTATTAATACCAACTTCCTCTAAATATTGCGTGACACACATTGCAGAGTCGGGTTATCTTGCATTAATAGAAAATTCAGTGTACGCCTCTAGGGATATTACCCATACTATCACCGAACCCACTCCACGGCTAACGCGGGAACTGAAAGCGCACTCCATAAATCTCTCTCCAGTTCGACGCCACACTCGTTCTCTCCCATCTGATGAGTGAAGACAATATCTCGACTCATCCCTAAAAAGGACATTACTCAATTGCCCTAAACTCCTTGCTGGTCTGCAACTTTGCAAACCAAATTCATGTAATCTTCGACGAACTGTAAATACACTTACATATTGCCTTGAACCTCTTGAAGCTGATTTCTTGTTTGCACCGCTGTTAAATGACGATCCCACAAAGCGTAGACTCGTATGAAACAATCATCTAAAGCGGTAGTTTTGCGCTTCCTGTCACTTCCCGCTTTACGCTTGTTTGTTCCAGTTCGTATAAAACGTTCCACTACCCTTTGGATGGTAAAGCGATGAGTGTGTAGTATTCTAGCCAGATATTCATAATTTCGCCCATCTTTAACCAGAGCAACGGCTTTCGAACAATCTTCGACACTAAGAACCATGATCAAACATAGATAAACAAAATGTAAGTGTCAATATGACATAATGATAACAGCCATCTCGTCTTATTACAAAATAATCATAATTAAGAAAGTCCTAAATTGTGGATGGCAAATTTATTTGGCTCTAAAAAATTAACTAAGGCATATTTTGACATGAAACAAAAAACACAATGCTTAGAAGACATGGTTGCAACCGAAAAAGAAGGTTTTACGAAAATTCGCAAAAGGAATTATTCCACAGGATGTTTCAAAATTAGGATAATAAAACCACGTTTTAATTAACCCCGTACAATAAGTCAAATATAAAATTTTATTAAAAAACTGACTAGGATACCAAATTAAAATTTATAAATTTATATACAGTGAGCTGAAAAAATCATCAAAATAGGGCTAAAAATAAAAAAAAAATTGAAACTTTGAATTTGACCAAACTCTGAACTAATTATATCCCCAGAAAAATCTGCCATTATATTTACAAGACATAGAATACATAAGCCTGATAGTCTAAACATGTCAGGATATGTTTACCTGTTGTTAGTGAGTATATGAGTAACGGTAGTTATGGGTGATTTCAATGCAAAAGTCGGCAAAAGAAGAGCTGGAACAGTAATGGGAGACCAATAGGGGAGCGTAACGATAGAGGCGATCGTCTAATACAATTCTGCCAAGAACAAAGTCTAATAATCACAAACACGTTCTTTAAATTACCAATGAGACGGTTATATACATGGCGCTCACCAGCAGATAAACCGGAAAAAGTTGTAAGAAACCAAATCGACTATATAATGATTAAAGAGAGATATCGTAACACCATCAAATGAGTTAAAACATATCCAGACCATAACCCACTAATCGCTAATATCACTCTTAAGCTTAAACGTATTAGAAAACCACAAAGAACTCCAAAATTAGATGTTAGAAAACTGAAAGAAGATAATATAAAAATCAAACTTTAACAAAAAATATACGAAAACTTATAGATTAGATACTAACACTTACGAGATAAACGAACAAACTCTTTAGGAAACACTAAAAACTGCCTCCTCGCTCCATGCAAAGAGATATTAAAAGAACCGACACGAAAGAAAGACAATTTAATGACCGACAAGATACTCGGCATGATGGAACAACGTAGACAAGCCAAGAACAAAGACAGTCACAATTACAAAATCATTAACAATGAAATCAGAAAAAAATAAGAGAGACAAAACAAACTTACTATGAGGAAAAATGTAAAGAGATAGAGGATCTTCAGAACAAGTACAACCTATTCAACATACATAAAAAAGTTAAAGAAATGGCAGGACTGCAAAAAAGAAACCACAACACAACTCTTCTAGATAAAAATGGAAAGACTATGATAACGACTGACGAAAAACTAAAACGATGGGAAGAGTATATGGAAGAGCTCTTCGATGACGAAAGAGGAAACCTACAAGACTTGTCGTTAGAGGACAGAGAAACAAGTGTAGAAATTACAAGGGAAGAAATACTGTATGCACTAAAGAACACCAGAAACGGAAAAACCCGGGGCCTGATCAACTGCCTATTGATATCCTTAAAATAATAGAAAATGAGTACATTGATGTCCTCTTAAAGCTTTTTAATAAAATTTATCAATCGGGAGACATATCCAACGAATGGTTGACCTCAACATTCATTTGTCTCTCAAAAAAGAAAAATGCTAGAGAATGCACCGACCACCGTACCATAAGCCTGATGTCTCACACACTTAAATTGTTTTTAAAGATAATTCATAAACGCATTTACAAAACACTTGATATGGATATTGAAGAAACTCAATTTGGATTCCATAATGGCGTAGGTACCCGTGAAGCTCTCTTTGCATTCAACATACTAATCCAGAGATGCTTGGATGTGAACCAAGATATGTACGTCTGTTTCATAGACTACAACAAAGCTTTCGACAAAGTCTACCACAAAGAGCTAATGGACATCCTCAAAGCAAAACAACTACAACACAATGACCTTTGAATTATAACAAATCTATATTATAAACAGCAGGCACATGTACGCATTAATGAACACACATCAGAAGAGTTCGAAGTTAAAAGAGGAGTGCGACAGTGGTGTGTATTGTCACCACTAATATTGAATGCATACTCTGAAGAAATTATGAAAAGAGCTCTTGAGGTAGAAACAGCAGGAATCAAGGTCAATGGAACACCAATTAACAACATTAGATATGCGGACGATACTATCATAATAGCAGACAACCTCCAAGACCTCCAAAAGCTAATGAACAAGATAGTTGAGTACGGATTATCAATAAACACCAAGAAAACCAAATTTATGAGGGTATCAAAAACCCAAAATAATGGTGAAAATCCTGACAATTAACGGTAGTGCTTTAGAACAAGTTGAAAACTACCACTATCTTGGCACAATAATTAATCACACAAACGATTATTCCAAAAAATCAAAGTTTGAATAGAGAAAGCATGTACAAACTTCAATAAAATGAGAAAGGTACTTTGTGCAAGAGAACTAAAATTGGACTTGAGAGTTAGGCTGGCAAGGTGTTATATTTTCTCGACTCTGCTTTATGGGATGGAAGCATGGACACTTAACGCGTCGACTGCTAAAAAGTTGGAAGCATTTGAAATGTGGGTGTATAGAAGAATCCTGAAGATGTCATGTGACAAACAACGAAGTCATGAGAAGAATCAACAAAAGAATGGAAGTATTGGAAACCGTCAAGACACGAAAGCTGCAATACCTGGGGCATGTTCTGCGTAATGAGAGATACAACCTACTTCAATTGATTATACAAGGGAAAATCCAGGGCAAGAGAAGTATAGGAAGAAGAAGAATCTCATGGTTGCGTAACTTGAGGGAATGGTACGGATGCACATCAATTGAACTATTCAGAGCAGCAGCATCTAAGATCCGAATAGCCATGACGATTGCCAAGCTCCACCACAGAGATGGTACGTGAAGAAGAGAAGTAAGTAGAGAGAGAGAGAGAGAGAAGAGAAGAGATTTTTAGAAATAATCATATGGGGCTTAAACTTCTAAAGTTCTAAATAAATTTTCAATATTTGCTTTATTTATTTATTCAAATTTAATCATCTTTTCAATAGCTAATTTAAAATAAAAGCAATCTATCATAAGTAGTTATAGTTTATGTAACAAAGAGTTTTAAACTACTACCCCATATGAATATATATATAAAGATGAAGGAAGACGAATCAATAAATAAATATTTATATTTCATATGGAAAAAGACAACTTTCGATCTACTTTCGATTTCATACCAAAATGATAACCTTATATAAAGAATAATCAAAATATCATACCTTCTCTTCGAAATCCGATAAAAATGTTGAATATATCTTACATACACTTTCTGAAGTTGGATGCAATATATCGTCTTTTGTAATTTGAGAATCTGGGAAAGCCTTTCTAATAGAATCTATTAAATCATCCATTTTTAAATAAGCTTTTCAACCAATCGTTTTTTATTCTTTTTGATTCTTTTAAAATATGTCTTGTCTTATCTTGTCGTATTGATGGCTTTGCTGCAAGGCAATTGCCAGCCCGATTTGTGTGAGACCCCACTTTGTCTGGCTCTGGGCCGTGCAGGGATCTCTGGAAACTTCACTGGACTACAGCTTTTCTCGTGTTAGCGCTTTTCTTGTTTCTATATAGCTTGATAACTATGGCAAAAATACTGGAGGATAAATTAATATTACAACAAATGGAATAAGCGGACAACACCAAAGCACTAAAACAGGCAGGATTATAGGAAACATCAGGGAAATTGGATAGTTGAGCTTCAGAGTTTGATTTTATTAATGATAATGAATTGCATGATTATCTCTATAGTTTCGTCTTCCGGAGAAGATAGAATGTCATTCATGGATAACAGTGATATTTTCTTTTTTGACACAAAGTACTTATATAAGTCCAAATTAGGAATATGGTTAATAGGGCACTCGAAAAATATGTGATTCAGGTTTTCTATCATGCCGCATTCACATGCAGGGTCATCTTTTATATTGATTTTGAAGAGATGGGCATTAGTCAGGCAATGACCTGTACGCATTCTAATTATAGTTGTGATGTGTCTTCTATCTTTATAATTTAAATTGTCATACCATGTCTTATTGGTGAAAGTTGATTGAACTCTAGCATACCCACGATGTTTGGTTGAGACTAAGATTCTCCATTTATCTTTAAAAATGTTTATAATATCCTGTTTTAAGAAATTTGAAATATCTTTTATGTCATAAACCATTTTTCTGGGAATATTAAGATCTGTTCCAATTTTGGCCAAAGTATCTGCCTCTGAATTCCCAGGTATACCTGAGTGACCCGGTATCCAGGATAATTGGATATTATAACCATTCATGTTAGATGAAGCAATTAGCCTTTTTGTCGTAAGAACCCAGTATTCAGAATTTGTTGCAAAAGAAGGATTACAGAGTTTTGTTATAGCCCCCTGTGAATCTGAGAAAATTATCACATTTTTAATTTTTTTATTAATGGCAGTTTTTACTGCATCATGTATGGCAATTATTTCTGCTTTGTAAATACTTAGATGATTGGGAAGACGTGACGAAAATTTATAGTTTAGGGATGGAATGAATATACCAAAACCCACTCTGTTGTCCCTTTTTGACGCATCAGAAAAAATGAAAGTATATTGAGATTTTAGACTATTAGTTTCGACCTCAAAATTAAATCTTGACATGATGTCTCCTTTTTTACAATTACAGTTAAAAGATTTTAAAGGTTTATTGAGTATATGAAAATCAATTTCGTAACAGGGAAAATTTGAACCTCTATATATTAACTTTAAATAAGGCCTATAGTGCTGAAGTGCTTCCACTAGGTATGGTATTTTGTCCTTATTCCAAAACTCTGGTCTATGGATTATTTTTAATAGAAAGTCATTGATAAATTGAATAGAAGGATGATTTGTTACAACTAAGAATTTTGAAATTAATTTAAGGGTGAGTAGTTTTCTTCTATGTTCCAGATCTAATATAGATGCTTCAGCCAAAAGTGCAACACACATGAGGGATTACATATACGTAATCCCTCATAAAACACCACATCCAATTTACTGAGAGCGGCCTTAGAACATGGTCTAAGAAACATTGATCCAAAATCAAGATGTGATTGTACTAGAGCAGAAAAGGCTATCAAAAGTGTGTTTGGATCTGCACCCCACCAAACCCTACACAGTGCTCTTAATACATTTAGTGATTTTGTTGCTTTATTTGTAATGTTAGTAATGTGTGATGACCATTTCATGTTTTCTTGCAGTATAATACCCAAATATTTAACCTCCTTTTTAAAGGCAATGATTACGTTATTAATATGTATGAGGGGTGGGATGGTATGTTTCCTCCCTCTAGTGAACCATACTGCCTCACATTTATCCATGGAAAGTGACAGGTTGTGTTCACGAAGGTGTGCATTTATGTGCTTTAAAGCATTATTGATATTATTTACCATGGTTGCTACACTTTTTCCTCTGATCATAACTGCCAAGTCATCAGCATATCCTATGATAGATGCTTCTCCCAAATTTAAATCAAAAATATCCCTTAAATAAATATTGAATAAAATAGTACTCTGAGGGGAGCCCTGTGGTATACCCGAGGTTGTTGCTACAGGACCCAGGAAGGAGCCGTCATTACCCCTACAATATAGTGATCGTTCTGTTAAAAGATTGAAAATTAGGTTACACATTCGGATAGGCACTTCTAAGTTTTTAATTTTATTATAGAGTTTATATATGTCAACATTATCGTATGCAGCTTTTATGTCTAAAAAAATTACGATGACTGACTCAGAGGATTGAAATGCCAGGTTAATGTATGATGTGATGAATGTTATGTTGTCATCTATACCTCTTCCTTTACGAAATCCAGTCTGATTATTTGAAAATTTTAAATTATGTTCCAATTGCTAGTCTAATCGATTCTTGATCATTATTTCTAGAATTTTGGCTCCACATGAAGACAGGACAATTGGTCTATAATTTTCTGGATTTGTCGGATCCCTATTTGGTTTTAAAAAACTAATAATATTAAATGTTTTCCATGCGGCTGGTATTTCTCCACCCATTAAAATTTTATTATAACTATTAATAAGAATATTGTTCTGAAGCTATTTTCTTGTGGCATTGTAAATTAATTATTATTTATAACTGGGAATAAGCCACAATTAAAGATAAAAATACGTTTATTGACGTTTCAATTTCCAATTCGGAAATCGTTCTCAAAATACAAACAGTAAATTAAACAAATTTTGTTTTTTGTAACATAGTGAAAAAATTCTTCTAATAATTTAATTTTATCTGACTCATTTATATTGACAATTCAGACATACATTATGCATTTTAAAGTAGACGACTTTAAAATGATATTGCCAATATTGTTGAGTTGCGCTCCTGGGACGACTTTACTTATAAGATAGTTCATTCGATTACATGAAATCAACTTTAACTTGAGAATATCCGTCAGAAAAAATCATAGCATCTAATTCGTCTTTAAAAAGACAAACACATGACATGATGACAGTAAAATTCTCCTGTTAGTGATTCCATAGTAAATTATGAGGGAAAAACCAGGAAAAAAACCTCATAATACTATCCCGACATTGTAAGTATTTGTTCGTGAATTTAGTTTACCTTCAACAAACATCAAAAATTCTGATTTTATATGTTACGTAATTTAAAAACATAAATGATGTATCCTCAATATGTTACTGACTTACTAATACTGGTATTTTCTTATTAATAACTTCCTCGCGCCAATTGTGCGCAATGTAAATGAGGCCAATTGTGTCGCAAATTCCTCGGCAGAATGTAGTAGGATCTGGTTACCAATATTGAAAGAGGAAGTTATTAATAAGAAAATACCAGTATTAGTAAGTCAGTAACATATTGAGGATACATCATTTATGTTTTTAAATTACGTAACATATAAAATCAGAATTTTTGATGTTTGTTGAAGGTAAACTAAATTCACGAACAAATACTTACAATGTCGGGATAGTATTATGAGGTTTTTTTCCTGGTTTTTCCCTCATAATTTACTATGGAATCACTAACAGGAGAATTTTACTGTCATCATGTCATGTGTTTGTCTTTTTAAAGACGAATTAGATGCTATGATTTTTTCTGACGGATATTCTCAAGTTAAAGCTGATTTCATGTAATCGAATGAACTATCTTATAAGTAAAGTCGTCCCAGGAGAGCAACTCAACAATATTGGCAATATCATTTTAAAGTCGTCTACTTTAAAATGCATAATGTATGTCTGAATTGTCAATATAAATGAGTCAGATAAAATTAAATTATTAGAAGAATTTTTTCACTATGTAACATGTAGCGTTATAACTGCTACATTGCCTGCTTTCTTTCTTATGTTAATATATTTCGTTAATACTATTCTCTAATTTCCGTATCTTCTGTCATAATTCATATTCTTCTATATCCTCCATTGTATCTCTTATTTTTCTATATATTTTCTAGGATATAGATTGTATCAGAATTATGTCGTTACTTAATTGATTCATTATTCTCTTTTCATTTTTACTGGTATTTGGTATAAAAACCAGTTGGCGTCCAAATCTATCTTCTTTATATATATATTTTAGTATCTACCTTTCCTATTTTCTTAATAATCATCATTTTTATCTTTTACTCAAGTTTCTAAAGAGTGAATTTTATTTTCATCTCTATTTCTGTTACTTTGGAACGAGAGGTCCCATCTTTATTCTTTGTCGACATTTCTCCTTCCCATTCGATACAAAAGTCGATATAAAGACTTCTATTTTCTAAAAATGTCGATTTTCTTCATGACTTCTCTAAGAATAGAATAATCAATTGTTGTGTCGTCTCCAGATTTGGAGTCAACCTCCGGGATACATTTCTCAGGTGCGGGTCAAATTCTATTACCATCCAGAAGACCAACCGGCCTGAGAATGGAACCATTATTCCAATAGGAGAGTTGACTCCGAGACAAGGAAATCCAAAACTACCAACATGGCTTGCTAACAACCAGAGCAGAAAAGACCAGAATAAAACTTAGGATTTGGTGACAAAAATTGTTCTTTCATATACCTAATGTAACACTGTAGCAAGAAGTCAAATAATTTTTATTTAAATTCAATACGATACTTAACATTTATTTTTCTGTTTTTTTTATATTTAAATAAACATGTGTTAATTTAACTGTGTATTGTTTCTTCTTTTTACTTGTTTGTGTGTGTTGCTCCAGAGTAGGCCATATTCACGTCCTGAGTGAGCTAGCCAGGGAGTGTTTCGTATAACGTCTAATGTAGCAATTTTGTAATTCATACATTAGGGGTTATGACGTTAAAAATTGGTCCCAACGAGAAACGATTTGTCACTCCAACGTTGTTAGTGATGTTAGTCAGGTTGTAGCAGCAAACTAGGGTTTGCGGTTACAGGTTGACAACAGCAGCTCAACGTTGGGATGTTACAAATTGAGCCTCGAAGGGTTACAAATTTGTAACGTTCCAACGAACATTCCTTGAACGTCAATCTATGACGTTCCAACAAATATTCATTGGGTGCCAATTTGTAACCCTTCGAGGCTCAATTTGTAACATCCCAACGTTGAGCTGCTGTTGTCAACCTGTAACCGCAAACCCTAGTTTGCTGCTACAACCTGACTAACATCACTAACAACGTTGGAGTGACAAATCGTTTCTCGTTGGGACCAATTTTTAACGTCATAACCCCTAATGTATGAATTACAAAATTGCTACATTAGACGTTATACGAAACACTCCCTGGCTAGCTCACTCAGGACGTGAATATGGCCTACTCTGGAGCAACACACACAAACAAGTAAAAAGAAGAAACAATACACAGTTAAATTAACACATGTTTATTTAAATATAAAAAAAAACAGAAAAATAAATGTTAAGTATCGTATTGAATTTAAATAAAAATTATTTGACTTCTTGCTACAGTGTTACATTAGGTATATGAAAGAACAATTTTTGTCACCAAATCCTAAGTTTTATTCTGGTCTTTTCTGCTCTGGTTGTTAGCAAGCCATGTTGGTAGTTTTGGATTTCCTTGTCTCGGAGTCAACTCTCCTATTGGAATAATGGTTCCATTCTCAGGCCGGTTGGTCTTCTGGATGGTAATAGAATTTGACCCGCACCTGAGAAATGTATCCCGGAGGTTGACTCCAAATCTGGAGACGACACAACAATTGATTATTCTATTCTTAGAGAAGTCATGAAGAAAATCGACATTTTTAGAAAATAGAAGTCTTTATATCGACTTTTGTATCGAATGGGAAGGAGAAATGTCGACAAAGAATAAAGATGGGACCTCTCGTTCCAAAGTAACAGAAATAGAGATGAAAATAAAATTCACTCTTTAGAAACTTGAGTAAAAGATAAAAATGATGATTATTAAGAAAATAGGAAAGGTAGATACTAAAATATATATATAAAGAAGATAGATTTGGACGCCAACTGGTTTTATACCAAATACCAGTAAAAATGAAAAGAGAATAATGAATCAATTAAGTAACGACATAATTCTGATACAATCTATATCCTAGAAAATATATAGAAAAATAAGAGATACAATGGAGGATATAGAAGAATATGAATTATGACAGAAGATACGGAAATTAGAGAATAGTATTAACGAAATATATTAACATAAGAAAGAAAGCAGGCAATGTAGCAGTTATAACGCTACAAACAAAAAACAAAATTTGTTTAATTTACTGTTTGTATTTTGAGAACGATTTCCGAATTGGAAATTGAAACGTCAATAAACGTATTTTTATCTTTAATTGTGGCTTATTCCCAGTTATTAATAAGAATTTGCTTAGCTTTGAAAGGTAAAAATTGAAACATTTCATAAGATATATCATCCATACCAGGAGCGGAGGATTTCTTTTTATTTAAGGCCAGGTTTAATTCATTTATGGAAAAGTGCTTTAAATTTTCATCTATGTTGTTAAGAGCAAAATTTGGATCTATATTTATGATTGACATTTTATTTAAAATAGATATTTTAAGATTATCTGGAATAGTAAGATTAAATCTTCCTGTTTTGAAGTTATTATTATTGAATTTCTTAATCTTGTTCCAAACATAAGTCATGCTAGAGTTCCTATTTAAAGTTTCACAAAAAAAGCATAAACTTTTCTTTTTTTTTATTATTTAATTTTTTCTTAGTTAATGCAATGGTTTTTTTTTGCTAATATATAATTTGCCATAGATGGAAAATTATTAAAATTTGCTATGGCTTTTTTCCTTTCCTTAACCCAGGATGTACAATCATCATCCCACCAGGCATTACCCCTTTTAACATGTATACCGGCCTGTTTAACTGGAATTACTTGATCAGCTACAATGTTAATAATATACATTAGTTGATCATAGGTTAAGTTATAATCTAAATCTTGAAGGTATATCAAAAATTTATTATGGTACGCTTCCCAATCAGCTTTTTTAAAGTTTCTAATTTTATAAGGACTAATTGTGTTGTTAAGTACCTCACAATTGCCATTATCATTAAGTACAAGACGTATAGGAAAGTGGTCACTGTTACCACAATCTTTAATAGTATCCCAATTAGACCGAATAGCTAGATTCCCACTTACCATAGTCAAATCTACAGCACTTGGTATTGCCGCTGACAATTGAAATAGTGTTGGTGTACCATCATTCATAATAACTAGATCATTATCAAATAAGAAATCATGAATTATTCTACCTCCTTTGTTGGGTGTAGCTTTATCCCATAAGGGATGATGAGAGTTAAAATCTCCCATAATTATAATATTTTTAGGATTGAAGGAAATAAGATCATTTAAAATATTGTTATTTATATGCATATGTGAGTTGCAATAAAAATTAATTACTTGTAAATTACCTATTTCTATTATTATATATTGAATATGTTCTGAAGAAAAAGATTTAATTTTCTTAAATATTATATTATTTTTAATGCATGTTACAATCCCACCATACCCATCATCTCTATCCTGCCTAACTATGTTATATGAATTGAGTCTAAAATTGTCATTGGCTTTTAGCCATGACTCATTTATTAAAAAAATATCGGGGTTTTCTTTGTAAATTAAGCTAATTAAATTACCCCTGTTTGAATTTATGCTTCTTAGATTCCAACAAATTATCTTTAACTTAATCGTATCTGACCTAGATGGAAAGAAAAGAAGGTTATTTAGGACTCTGAGTCCGATTGGGAACCAGGGTCTATATTCATATTAAAATTTTGACTGAATAGTATGTTTTTAATTACTCTTTTATTATTTTCTGACATATTTAAGATTGCATTGATAGTACATCTGACCTCATCTGGATATGAGGAAGTAGATTCTTCTGAATTATAAGTATGAACTGCACTAGTAGTAGGCAACTGTGTATTTATATTGTTTTCAAATTTTTTTGAGAAATTTGGTGAGTTGTTTTCATTTTGAGATCTTGAGTTGGGAAATAATAAATTTTCATTATGAGCCTTTTTATCATAGCCTTTGTGAATTATCCTTTTTTTTTATTGTTTTCAGCCACGACTTGTTGAAAAGATCTTTTGATAGGATCGGTTCTTACATGATGCGTACGTCTTTGTGAAGGTTGAATAAGGTTATCTTTATTGTCATGTGTTTTTTCAGTAGTATTAAAGTTTTTAATAATAGGGAATTCGGAGGGGCGATATACAAATTCATCACATGTCAAATAATTTTTTTTAACTATTTCGCTAGCATCATAGAAAGTTATATTTTCAAAAGACATGAGCTCTTTGATATTTTTTTGTCTTGTATACTCGGGACAACTTTTATCGGTTGATTTATGGGGATTTTTACAATAAAAACATTTAATTTTACAAGAAGAGTGAACCTCCCCACCTGATGTTTTTTCTTCAGCACAAGTGAAGAACCTCTCCCTGCCTTTACAATTTGTACGTGTATGGCCATACCTTAGACATCTAAAACACTGAGTTACTGGGGGAATATATACAGAAATAGGTCTTTCCAATCTATACAAATTTATGGATTTAGGGAGACAAACACCTTTAAATGTAAAGAGAACCGATCCAGTAGGTTCATATGTAGTTTCATTATTTTTAACTATTTTACGATTTAATCTCTTAACTTGAAGAACTTCTACCGAGCTGTTAGTTTTACAAAATTCTAACAGTTCTCTCTCTCCTAATTCAACATCAATTTGCCTAACTAATCCTTTACAAGTTACAAAATTGAATGGTACAAATATATATAACGGTACAAACAAAGAAAATATTTGTTTTATACTTATTTAAATCTTGTAGCTTCTCATAATACAAATTATAATTTCGTAAAAGTAACTTATATTTTAAACCTTCATATACATTTTACAAAAAAAATACGGCAAGTTTTATAATTATTTAAAATTTGTAGCTTCTCATAACACAAATTATTATTTCGTAAAAGTAAATTTATATTTGTAGCATTCTAATACATATTTTACTAAAATAAATACGGCAACACTGTGACGCAGTGCCTTGAGCAAAAGGCAAAATATATTTGGTTAGGTTAGAGTGCCCGCAATTGCGAAATGCCCCAAAGCTTTATTAATTATTATCAAGCTCAACTCACCTTTTAGAAACTCACACAACAGAAAATTAGATGGAAAGAGTTGGAAACAGAGCCTCTCAAACTAGACCTTATGTCGTGAACGCTAACCGAAAAGTGTCTTTTTTCAAATTTGTTTTTAACCTTAACCGTTAAATCTTTGACATTTGTCAATTGCACAGCACACTCCACAGGTTTAATTTTTCTGTCAATAATGTGTCAATTGTCGATTGAGAACTTGACGTTCAGCAGACGGAGCTGCTCCACAACTGTTGAGTAAAAGTCTGCAAAATGCAACCGCTACCGCGGCGCTACTTCCGGAGCGGCCTGTCAAATTTGGTAGCGTAAAAAAGTATCGCTACATCCATCCAACATGTTGAGAGAAATGTCATTCTTGACATTTCGGTACTAAAATTGAGGGTTAGGTGTTTTTTTTGTTTTTATTTTACATTTTTTGGAAATTGGCGACATTTGTATTGTCTAAATAAGTTGTATGTTGTTATGATATAAAAGGTGAAGTGTGCATGTAGACTCGTGTTTTTTGTTGTTGAAAGCTCTTTTGTGTTCTGGTATACATTTGTTGAAGGTTCTACCGGTTTAACAGAGGTATAAGTTTGTATGTTGGGTTTTTGATTAAGTTTGTTATACTCCACTGTATAAATGTTTTTAATGTTGGCTCTGGTACTTAATATATTTGCTTAAGTAATTGTTTGTTCTGAAAGCTGGTGTTATTCCTCTCTATTTGTGTTTTCTTAGTTCTGTTGATATCATGCCTGATATGTAATTATTGTTTCAATTCGTTGATGGTTTTATTACTTAAGTATCAAAGTCTTTGTTTCAGGCACTATATAGCTTTCTTTATTTAGATGATAATTGTGTGTAATATTAAATTTTATTTTCAACCATCTAATATGTTGTTTCCAAGTAAGTGAAACTTTACTATATATTTACTGCGATTTAAAATGCTTTAAAATAACCAAGTGCCAGGCCGAAGTCTGCAGAAGGATATTGATCGTATATCTAAATGGAGCACACAAAATGGTATTTGGATGCGTCAAAATGTCATAATTTTCATTTGCACCTTCCTCATCCCCCAATAATATTCGAATATAGTAAACACAATTTAACCCTATATTCTACTTTTGAAAGCAAGGATCTAGGTGTGAACCTTGACTCTAACCTTATATATAAATCACACATTTCCACAACAATACAGAAATCTATGAAGCTACTTACTTTTGTGAGGAAAACCATCAGAGATTTTTCATACATCTCTGCTATTTGATCCCCTTCTCCATGGTTAGATCCCTTTTTATTTACTGGTCCACAGTTTTGTCCCCCTATTACATTGCACCTAAACTTAAGACTGTACAATTTTCTGTCATGCCATTGTATGGATGCATCTATACTGTGAATATGTTTCATTAGAATGTACACTGAACTTCTCTTGAGGTATGTAGAAATCAAAGAGACTGAATAGTTCTATTTATAATTATCAACAGTATGTGCACCTGCTTCAAACTTCTCTCCAAAATATTTGTTTATTAGTCTCCAATTCAACAGAACTCTTCTATTAGCTAACTCTTCATAGAATCTCCAAATTTTTAATCTATCAGTTTTCCTCTTCAAAAGTGATAATTCTGATCCAACTTTGTAATACTTTCGACTTCAGCTTTTGTATTGTGTTTAGTGTTACATTACCTGCATGCATTAGATAACTTAAAACCATTAGACCTTGTGACTTTTTCTGAATTGATTTGTTATCTTATTTTGCATTCCTCTCTATCTGTAAATAATAAACTCCTAATCTATAAACAAATACTGAGGCCAGTATGGACCTATGGCTGCCAACTCTAGAGCTGTGCCAAACCTAGTAACATCAAAGTAATCCAGGTATTCCAGAATAAAGTGCTGAGGAACATCGTAAATGCGCCTTGGTATGTTAGGAACAACAATCTTTACCTGGACCTCAAGATGGAAGACGTCAATCAGATAATCAAGAAATTTGCAGGGAGCCATGAACAATGTCTCCATCATGTAAATGTCGAGGCTATCCAGTTCCTCGATAATACGAACCTAGAGAGAAGGCTCAAAAGAACAAAGCCTTTTGAACTGGTATAGTGAGTGAGTGAAAAGCAGAGCAAAGTGTTGTGCGAGTATGCATGCTAAATTTAATGCTAGTTATTAGAAATAATAGGAAAGATACTAGTGAGTAGACACCTAATTTTAAGTTTTCATTAGTAATTTAAGTTAGAAACAAATTGATAATTGGTCTTACTGACCAGATTTTAATGTAAGTACACTTCAGTGTATTCAGTAAAAAAAAACATTGTGAATATATGTTGTTTTTTTGTTATTGTACTATTCATATATTCTTTTTCCAAATTAGTTTATTGTATTAACTGCATTTATAGCACTGTAAATAAAACTTGTATAATGTAAATAAAATGATATATTTTTAGTAGCTTTTGTTTTATTAAAATTAATGATTTTACAGAGGAAAGTGTGTTTATAAGCTAAGTAAGAAAAGTTTGTAAATATAACATAAACATTAATGAACCAAAATATTTACAAGTATCATCATTCTATTTGCCTATTTTAATAGATGTTCCCTCATTTTATTAATAAAAGCCACACACAAACTTACTCTTAAATACTCATTCCTCACCTCATCTTTTTTAGTTACTCCACTCACCCAATGAAGCATGCTCATTTCAGCCATGTAATTTCTGTTTATTCCTATTTACTGTACAACATTCAGTACCATATATAATCACTGGTCTCAAGACAGTATTATAGAGCCTGTCCTTTAGTTTTACTGGTACCTTCTTATCCTTATCACAACACTTCAGTCGCCTCCTTCCAAGATTTTCTGCAGCATTTAACAGTAGATTGAATACCAAGCATGATAGTGCATCTCCCAAAGCAGACCTCAGTTAGTTTTAAATGACTCTGAGACTTCTCCTTGTATCCACACTTTACATTTAACAATATATTTAATAATAAATAGGTCCTGTTGAGTTTACCTATTAGCTTTATTAGTATTTTTCCATCACACTGAACTCCACTCATTTTGCTAATACTGTTTTAATTCTATTACTTACATTTACATCCTAATAACTCTATAATACTGAGTCTAACTACCTAAAACTACCACTCTCTTTTATGTTTTATAACACTAGATTGAATGGCATCAAATATAAAATAGGGGTCTGTCATATTTTTCAATTAACAAGTAAAAATATTTATAAGGTAGTAATTGGGCCAAGAGTAACTAATTTTCCAGCAGATCTATATAAAGAAGGTAGTTCGAATATCACTGGCAGTGGCATCACAGCAGCCTAGAAAAGAAATATGAATACAGCAGTCCCTCCCCAGCGATTGGAATATTTGCACCATACATAAAAAGGGAGATATATCTAAATACCCACATCACAGAAGAACTACTCTCCTTCATACTCCGTGCTGTTGCATGGCACATAATGATAGTGAATAATAGGAAACTAAGGCTTATGAGGCTATCTAAATTTTGACAACTCATTAAATATTGCAACCTTTAGGTAAAAAGTAGGTACATATAATACAATACATTAAATTAAAAATTAATATGCTATTGATATGATTTGTGGCTAATGAACATAGTTTTGAAGCCAAATCTCTCTGCATACTGTCACACACACAATTAACAATATCTTAATTATATTAACTTCATTAATTTTACATATAGTATTTATGCATGAAAATATACTCTTATGCATGAAAAAAGTAGTCTTTATTGAGTCCCAACAAGCTGCACATATAAACCAAATTTTATTTATTTTTTATTATTATTTATATTACCTACAGATGCAAACAAGTTTTAAATGTACATAGACCTGGGCAAAAATAGTAAATTAAATTATCACCTCTAAGGAAGATGGAGAAAAGTTGTCAAGAAATGTATGGGATATAATTTAATATTATACACACATCAATAATAATTAATAAAAATCAATAATATACACATGGAATCACCCAGTATTTCCGATTTTGTAAAGTATTACTAAATTTTTTTTAATGAAAAATGAACTACATTTTATACTAAACCAGCTAAATTACTATAAAAAAAAATCAAAAAAATGTTACAAATACATTAAATTAACAAAAATACGAACAAATGAAAACATTGCAATGGTTGACTAAAAAAAGATACAGTCTTGTTGTTCATTTTAATAGTCAGTGTTACCACCTCTAGCTCTAATACAAGCTTCAATCTGACGGGGAATGCTTCTAATCAAAGCATCAACTTGTTCTTGAGGTAAGTTTGCCCATTCTTTGCGTTTCATCTTCAGTTTTCAGAAAGTCTTTGGATCAAAGTCTATTATTACCATTATTGCTTCATTATGGTTATCTGGCCACATTATATATTGAGGCATTAATAATAAGATTGCTGACACAATTTCTTTAAAAATACACTATGGGCTGTACTCTTGGCTATATTGAACCTGCCGCCACAGGATACAAACGATTCTGGTTTAGCTAAAACCCAGGTGGTGAACAGCACTTTTTTTATCTAAAGGAATTGTAGCTCCAATGGGTATAACTCCTAAATTTCCTAGTTGCTGGGTAATTACCTAAAACATTTATATGTAGTTTTCAAAGAACTAATAATCTTTACTAAAACCTACTTCAGCACATTCCCTGCTCATGCGAAAATGCTTTATCGCCTATTAAAAAGATCTCCCATATATTGGGGAATGGTTTCCTCATAAAAATTTTGATTAGGAGGAACTTGAGCTCTCTCAGCATTATTCAGCTCTAATTCTTCAGTTTGTGCCAACTGATCCACAACATTTTCAATTAGCTGGATATTATTTTCCTTGTCCGCTAGTAATGTGACGTAAAGTTTAATAATATTTAAAAGTCAAGCTAAATTGGCAATCCAAAACATAATCAAAATATTTAATTTTAAAATGACAAATTATTTGACATTGACAGATAAGGTAGCGGTAGCGGAATCCAGCAGGTATTGACTTATGACGTTTGGTCCAGCGCTTTACGATGGATTCGGAAGTAGCGGAGCGGTAGCTGCTCCGTCTGCTGAACGCGCCCATTGGATACGAGGAGACCGGTTGCCATAGATTAAGTATATATAAGTAGAGATTTGCCGG